ATTCCCAAAAAGACTCATGGCTGTATTAGCTCAAAAGGGTGCTTCTACTAAATACTGAGCAAAGGGTCTGAATACTTATGACCATATGATATTTCAGTTTTTCTTTTTTAATAAATCTGAAAAAATGTCAATTCTGTGTTTTTCTGTCAATATGGGGTGCTGTGTGTACATTAATGAGGAAAAAAATGAACTTAAATGATTTTAGCATATGGCTGCAATATAACAAAGAGTGAAAAATTTAAGGGGGTCTGAATACTTTCCGTACCCACTGTATAAAATAAAATCATACAGTACAATGTTATACACTGAAAAACATTCAGAAGTACAGTAAGATGCCAAAGAGACAAAGTAGAGGTACTGATGAAAAATGTAAATGTCTATAAAGGTCTATTTGACACATAATTTACTGGGTTAATTCACTGCACACACCACAACCCCTACATGACTACGGTCACAGTGACAGCAATCCCATCACAGCTTGAGCAGCAGCCTGCCATTGACACAGTTGAGAGCCATTAGTTAACTGGTCTCTACTGGCTGTAATGCAGGAAAACCAGGGAATGTAATCAGTACGTATTATACCCATGTACTATCTGTTGTGAAGTAATGCAAAAGTAGCTCAGAAAAAAAAATTCCACTGTGACATTTGATGCCTTTGTAGTATGTAAAACGTTAAAATGTCTCTATTGGTTTTTATTACCGGGATCTAAAGTACATGATCCAGAGGTGCAAGGCCAGCTACAGGAAGAAGCTGGAGCAGAGCATGGAGAATAACAACATGCGTGAGGTGTGGAGGGGTCTGAAACACATCTCGGGTCATGGATGGCAGCATGGATGGTGGGGATGGTCACCAGGTCGCAGGGGACAAGGCCTGGGCAAAGGAACTGAATCAGTTCTTTAACAGATTTGACTCTACCCAGTCCTCAGCCCCCACCCTGCCTGCCCCCCCGACTCACCTACCTGGCCCAGTCACCCCCCCGCAGCTGCTCACACCTCTGCTTGCCCCTCTTCCCACTGTCATAGAGGTTCCTCAGCAGCTCCCAGCTCCTGACCCGTCACCACCCACCCACCCCCTCCGCCTCACGGTGGACCAGGTCAGGAGGGAGTTAGGGAGAACTAAGGCCAGGAAGGCCACAGGCCCTGACCACATCAGCCAGCCAGGGTCCTCAGGGAGTGTGCTGACCAACTCAGTGAAGTGGTCCTGTATTTGTTAAACCTGAGAGAGTCCCAGCTCTGTGGAAGACATCCTGCGTGGTCCCGGTTCCCAAAATATCTCATCCTAAGGAGCCGAACCACTACAGACCCGTTGCCCTGACCTCCCACCTGATGAAGACCATGGAGAGGATTGTCCTCGGCCACCTCTGTGCCCAGGTGAGCTCGGCGCTCGACCCGCTGCAGTTTGCATACCGTCCTGGCATCGGGGTTGATGACGCCATTATCTACATGCTGCATCGAGCCCTATCTCACCTGGAGTCCCCCAGAAGCATGGTGAGAGTCATGTGCTTTGACTTCTCCAGTGCTTTCAACACAATCCAGCTGTCACTGCTGAGGGGACCAACACCTGTCTGCATAGATCATTAACTACATCACAAACAGACCACAGTTCGTCAGACTGTGTGTCAGAGACATGGTGGTCTGCAGCACGGGGGCGCCCCAGGGGACGGTGCTTTCCCACTTTCTGTTCACCCTCTACACGTAAGACTTCAAGTACAACTCCCACAACTGTCACCTACAGAGGTTCTCTGACGACACCGCCATTGCTGGATGTGTATCTGGGGGGGACAAGCGGGAATATAGGGGGGGTTGTTACTGACTTTGTGAAGTGGTGTGAGGAAAATCGACTGGTCATGAACACCAGCAAGACTAATGAGATGGTGATTGATCCCACGGGGAAATCACCAGCACTAGCTCGGTGAGCTTTCAGGGCTCAGATATTGAGATTGTGGACACTTTTAAATAGCTGGGTGTCCACCTCAACAATAAGCTGATGGTCTGCAAGGTGATCGCATTCCTGGCAATGTAAGCATAAAGCAAGAGATGTGCGGCTCACACCGCAAGTGTGTCAAGGATACATTTCACAGAATAGAGTTCAATCTGATGCATGAAAAATGCATCTAAAAATGTGCTCCATCTGTGTTGGCCTTAACTGCACCTGTGTATGTGACGTGCCTTGTTTTTTTTATGGGCTTCCTGGGTGAGTCACTGAGGCTCTTGATTAAATGATTGAATGTTTGGTTTTTTGCCATGGTGGCAAAGATTGTGGCGTGGCTCATAATCTCTGCCTCAACACGGACAAGACGAAGGAGATGATAGTGGACATGAGGAAGGACAGGAGATATCATCTGCCACTGTTCATCCGGGGGCTCGAAGTGGAGAGGGTGAGCAGCTTCAAATACCTGGACGTCCACATCAATGAGGACCTCACTTGGACACTTAACACCACACAGCTGGTCAAGAAGGTCCAACGGCGGCTGTACTTCCTGAGGAGGCTGAGGAGGGTTGTCATGTCATCTAGGATCCTCAGGCACTTCTACAGCTGCATCATTGAGAGCATCTTGACCAGCTGCATCACTGTCTGGTATGGCAGCACAACTGCTATGGACTGCAAGTGCCTGCAAAGAGTGGTAAAGACCGCGGAGAAGATCACCAGGACTCCACTGCCCTCTCTGCAGAGCATCTACCACTGCAGGGTGTGTAGGAAAGCTGCCTCCATCCTCAAGGACCCCACCCACCCCCAGCATGGGCTGTTCACACCCCTACCCTCAGGCTAGAGGTTCAGAAGTGTAACATGCAGGACGTCTAGACTGAAAAACTCTTTCTTTCCCTCTGCCATCAGACTCCAGAACAGCTGACAGGGGTTTACAATCAGGAACTACTTCATGTAATGCCACCTGTACTGTTTACATTCTCAGTTTGCACATGCACAATTGCACATTCATTGCCAACTGTTGCACATATTCTTATTATACTTTTATTATTCCTTTCCACTGCTGTTTTTTCTTTTGATATTGTATATACACAACTATTTACCTACTATTGTAGACTTATATTGTTCGGCATTGATCGTGGACTGCAAATTAAGAATTTCATTGTGCAGGGAAACATGTTTCCTTACTGTACATATGACAATAAACGCTTTGAATCTTGAATCTTTAAACAATCATTGAATGCTGTTAAGATTAGATGCAAACTAAAGAGTACTGCTGTGTGAATCATTTTTTGGGGGAGTCTATTTTCAGCCAGTTGGTGATTTATAACACTTAGGTTAACAAGGTTAATAATAGTACATCAGATGATTATGGAGTTACAGCTGTTGTGCCATAATGAATAAGACACAGCCCCTCCAGAGTGTGTTGTTAATAAAGTAAAACCATAGGAGTGTTCGCATTTTCAGGATAAGACAGACTAACTAAAAGAGGATATCCAAGACCTCTGTTTACTTTTCAAGTGTTATTTAAAGAGCCCATGGCATTTCCAGACATTTAATGTTTAATCTTGGGTACCTCTAGATGAGCTTTGCACTCATCATAACTCCAAATAGTCTGCAATTATTTCAGAACCATAAAACCCAATATAACAAGGAGAGCCTCCTCCTGAAAACAATGGGATAGCTCATGAACGTGCATAACTCCTGTCGCTGTGTCAGCCCTGTAATAGACCGGTGACCTGTCCATGGTGCACCCCGCCTCTTACCCAGCAACGGACGGGCTTGGCTCCAGCCCTTGCCCCCATGACCCTCATTCGGATAAGCGGTATAGATAATGGATGGATGGATGCTAGGTCCAAATGCTGTAAATGTGCTCTCTTCAATACCACCAAAGATTTAAAAATCTGCAAGCACTGACGGGCACAAATTTCACTAGCTTGTAACTAGGTAAACAATATTTACAATAGCAAATGTTATCCCCATCGGTGGGGTTTCAGTCCTTTGATGGCCAACAATGTCCCCTAAAGACTCAGATGGGATAAATATTTCCGACTCAACGCCAGTCAGACAGGACTGATGAAGCCTCTTGGATGAGGGGTGAAACGTCTTCGACCTAAAAACCTAGTCCAATTGATTTTTCTAAGTTTTTTCAGCTCACTATGACCTGGATGACTGAGAATCTGCATGGACATGTAGCTGCTCAACAGGAATTTTTTACATATATATTTTTTGCCTGTGACAACATAGAACAGAGTGGTTTGACAATCTTCTGACCAGAGCTGAACAGAGTAGTTGGCAGATTCATACCACACCCACATCAAGACAGGAGAACAGACCACAGCAGCATTAATGGACTGTTAATAGCACTTTACAGCTGTGAAACTGGAGGTGATATTGTTTTATCCTTGCATTGTTAGATCCTTTTTGCTCTTCTTTTTAATTTAAACACATTAAAACAAATATTTAATAGCAATAACAACAATATTTGAAAATGTAGGGTTCCCACTAAAAACTGAAATTCTATGCAACTGAGCAGCACTTTGCTGCTGTATTTACAAATAATGTAAAAATAAAACAACAAACATAAACAGCACAGTCTTCTAAGCAGTCTGACCTTATTCCTGAAGGCATCCTGTGGAGCTGTCCGTTGACATACAGATATCTGTTCTTGGAGGCGACATGACTGTGGGTGACTGGCAGAATCTCCATTGCAAGCCCGAGATCATCTACCTATACACACACACATTTTGTGTTTCTGCATGAGTAATACCAGTAACACACACGTTTGTACAGCTCTCTTTGTGAGAACACTCATTGACCCCTAACCCCAACCTAGCCTAACCTAACCTTAACCATCACAACTACACACCTAATATCAACCTTTAATATAACCCTAACCATACCTATTTTTATCACTAACCCTAAAACTAAGTCTCAAATATGGAAGCAAAACGGCCTCATAATGATTTGAATCTATATCAGCATCTGAATAATAGGTTTTGAAATATTATACTTTGAATTCTATATTCTGATTCTATATTCTATATAATTCTATATTCTGTTATCACTTACCGCGCGCTGCCCTCCTCCGCCATCACTTCGAAAATCACAGGTGAAAACTTTCCCTCCTCTGTACTTTCCTTTGTTGTTCATTCGCGCCACAGCACTACAGGAAACTTTCGCCTCTAGGGTCACATGACTGACCTGTGTTTACCCGATTGGCCAGGGATCCGATCAATGGCATTGTCGCTTGATTGCTACTGCCCAGTGTCCCGGATGTTGTTTTGAATTTCTGCACCTGAATGTCACAGTCTGAATTGTGAGTTGATTGAACTTTCTGGTTCTGAATAGTGCTTCTTGAAATAAATGCACTGAATATATTTTTTGAAAATTAGACGTACATTTTTATATTTGAATTATTTTAATAACATTGGTGTGGTTTGAAATCAAAATTATGTATTTTTTTTTTACTTGAAAATCTCTACTTGTAATTTCATTGCGTAAAATTCAGAGTGCATTCATTCAGAATATAGAATTCAAAGTATAATATTTCAAAACCTATTATTCAGATGCTGATATAGATTCAAATCATTATGAGGCCGTTTTGCTTCCATACTCAAACCTCAAACAGTCCTTTGAAGGTGTGTCAGAAAGTGTGGCCTGATCAAAAATGTCCTCACTTCCATGGTATAAAACTCAAACTTGTCCTCACAACAAATAGCCATACAAGTACACAAACACTACACTTGTAATAATGAGACTGTTTTTAATGCCCCCGAGAATAAAAATTCACTTTTGAAACAAGCATCTTATTCAGGCTGCCCTATAAAAATTCTTCACACTTGAATGCAGCCAGTTCGGGAGAATTGTACACTGGTACAGTGTCTAATACTCCAAGGTCCTGAATAACTGAAAACATATTTCAGTCTGTCGTCCTCAAACGGGTAAATCACCTCTATTTGAGATGCTATAACTATTCCACTTGCAAGTGCAGCATTTTCATTTGTAATAAACATAGAAGTCATGACAAAACAGATTTTAAAATCATTCATCACTGCTTTTAAATGAGTTAACGTGAGGAAATCATCTGTTAGCACACCCCTGATTATAGCCTCAGTGCTTTGATAGAACTCACCATATTGAGTGTGTTGTGTCCCACTGCCCCTGCAGGTCGAATTGCTCTGGGTCCATGTTCAAACACTGCCCCATCTGACCTTCTTGTGGACCACAGCCGTCCTCCAAAACGATTGCTAGACTCGAAAACAACCACCTGGAAAAAACAGATTTACTCTGCAATGTTGCAGGACGCTTGCTTTAATTAAACACACACACAAACATAGTCAACAGATGAAAGACTAACACAGCAGAATGTAGTATTGCAGAGGTGCAGGTAGCTGACATTTTGAAAAGAGCGAATGAGAATTTCGTATTGCATAACGCTGTGTGTGTGCCTTTGTATTACTTACATTAGGGGGATCGCAACCTGTTAACACACTGACATTGTGGGGACTCGACATCACTGAGTTTTAGGGTGGCAACATGTTTTGAGGTTAGGGTGGGGTTAAATGTTAGGTATTAGGGTTAGGTGTTAGGCAAGTAGTGGTTATGGTTAAGGTTAGGATAAGTCTGCAGGAAATGAATGTACATCAATGTAAAGACTCCACAAGGAATGAAAACACAGTGTGTAGGGTGTGTGTGTTACCTTGGAAATCTGGGGGCTCTTACACAGGTAGTAAGATGCTGCCAAACCCCCAATCCCCCCACCAAGGACTGCAATTGTTCTCATTGGCCAATTGCAAAAACATCCAGTAACCAACAGACCTTTAACACAGATTCAGGAAAGGTGAGAAGACAGTAGAGCTTATGTGCTTCGGCAGGGCGTGGCAGGGTGGGTCTGCTAAATAAGGCCTGTTGATCATGATATGAGAAACAGTTAGTTTATCAGCTGTGTCATTCTGTCCAGCAGTTCATATTTACAGCAGACAAATGTTCAGCTTTCGGCTGAAAGGATTTCTCAGACTTGCCTGAGTGATCAGTGACAGGGTTTGTTTGTTTTTAATGCTAAAATAAAATAACTCAAGCTGATGCAGAGTTTCTATCTTCACATTTTGTAGGCTCCTGCAATTTTTTCCATTCCCTGTTCTCAGTGCCACTCATATGTGCTCATTGGATCAAGGATGTAATGTCTACCCATCTACCGTCTTTCTTTTTTGATATGGCAGCAAAAACGAATTTCAGTGCACAATCATTGGGCTGTTTCATTTCAACTTAAGTATAAACTGATGAATTGCATGGATGCTTTGCCGTTTGTGTACATGATGTATTTGTATCCTGTTTTTCTTCTGAAGAAGAATTTCTGCTCTTTGGCAATGTCTGTGTTGGACCTGATGCAGTTCAGCTCTCTCACTCGCATGCTAGCACATACAGTGGATATAAAAAGTCTACACACCCCTGTTAAAATGCCAGGTTTCTGTGATGTTAAAAAGCGAGACCAAAATAAATAATTCCAGAACTTTAGCCACATTTAATGTGACCTGTAACTTGTACAACTCAATTGAAAAAAAAAACAAATGTTTTTTTCAGTGGGAAGTAAAAATAAAAAACTAAAATAATGTGGTTGCATTAGTGTGCACACCCTTTAACTAATATTTTGTTGAAGCACCTTTTGATTTTATTACAGCACTCATTCTTTTTGGGTATGAGTTTATCAGCAATGCACATCTTGACTCTGCAATATTTGCCCACTCTTCTTTGCAAAAACGCTCCAAATCTGTCAGATTGCGAGGGCATCTCCTATGCACAGCCCTCTTCAGATCACCCCACAGATGTTCAATCGGATTCAAGTCCGGGCTCTGGCTGGGCCATTCTAAGACTTTTATCTTGTTCTGGTTAAGCCATTCCTTTGTTGATTTGGATGTATGCTTGGGGTCATTGTCGTGCTGAAAGATGAAGTTCCTCTTCATGTTCAGCTTTCTAGCAGAAGCCTGAAGGTTTTGTGCCAATATTGACTGGTATGTAGAACTGTTCATAATTCCCTCCACCTTGACTAAGGCCCCAGTTCCAGCTGAAGAAAAACAACCCCAAAGCATGATGCTGCCACCACCATGCTTCACTGTGGGTATGGTGTTCTTTTGGTGATGTGCAGTGTTGTTTTTGCGCCAAACATACCTTTTGGAATTATGGCCAAAAAGGTCAACCTTGGTTTCATCAGACCATAACACCTTTTCCCACATGCCTTTGGGAGACTTCAAATGTGTGTTTGCAAAATGTAACCGGGCATGGATATTTTTCTTTGTAAGAAAAGGCTTCCGTCTTGCCACTCTACCCCATAGCCCAGACAAATGAAGAATACGGGAGATTGTCGTCACATGTACTACACAACCAGTACTTGCCAGGAATTCCTGCAGCTACTTTAATGTTGCTGTAGGCCTCTTGGCAGCCTCCCTGACCAGTTTTCTCCTTGTCTTTTCATCAATTTTGGAGGGACGTCCAGCTCTTGGTAATGTCACTGTTGCACCATATTTTCTCCACTTGATGATGACTGACTTCACTGTGTTCCATGGTATATCTAATGCCTTGGAAATTCTTTTGTACCCTTCTCCTGACTGATACCTTTTAACAATGAGATCCCTCTGACGCTTTGGATGTTCTCTGCAGACCATGGCTTTTGCTGTAGGATGCGACTAGGAAAATGTCAGGAATAGCCTACTGGAACAGCTGAACTTTATATGGGGTTAATCAGAGGCACTTTAATTGATGGCAGGTGTACTGACTCCTATTTAACATGAGTTTGAATGTGACTGCTTAATTCTAACAACAGTCACAGCCCCACAGTAAGAGGGTGTGCACACTAATGCAACAACATTATTTTAGTTTTTTATTTTTACTTCCCACTGAAAAATAGATTTCACTTTGTTTTCAATTGAGTTGTACAAGTTATAGGTCACATTAAAGGTGGCTAAAGTTTTGGAATTATTTATCTTGGTTTCGTTTTTTTACATCACAGAAACATGGCATTTTAACAGGGGTGTATAGACTTTTTATATCCACTGTATATTATTATACACATCACATTTAATGTTGCAGCCGGTAAAAGGTAGAGCTAATGTTAACTACCTTAAATACTTACACTTTGAAGTACTTCACATACTGCTGGGAGGCTTGTGAATTTCCCACCAGGGATCGCTAATGTCTGATGATTCTACTGTATTTTGTTTAATTAATCTCAGTCTGAAAAGTGCCTAGTAACTAAAGTTATCAAATAAATGAAGTATAAAAGTACAGCATTTTTCTGTTAAAGTGAATTCTAAGTATGAAGTAGCAGAAAATGTAAATAATGAAGTACAGATACCTCAAAACTGTACTTAAGTACAGTATTTGAGTAAATGTACTTAGTTATTTTCCTGCTTTGCTGTGTAGCGTTGGGGACAGAGAAACACTTGGCGGGGCCCCCCTTGATGCCCGAGGGAACAAGCATATGGCTGGACCCCCAGGAAAGTTCTATACAGTCTCTGGAAAGGCTGTATAAAACTGCAGGTTTGGAGGGGACTGTGTGTGTGTTCGGTGTGTGTCCTGTTGTTGTGCGGTTGCACCTGAATAAAGCCAGAAAAAGCCAAGCACTGGTCTTCAACTCTTCTCTATGCAGCCATACAATACATTACTTCAGCACGTTAATATCTTCACGCACTGCAGGACTTGACTGTTACAGTTGGTTGACGTGAAGCTCTGCTGAACTAGTTTGTATCCAAGTGCAACTATTGATTATTTTCTCCATCAACCAATGAACTGGTCTGTCAAACTCATGACAGTAGTGACAAATGCCGTCACGATGCTCTAAACGCTTATCATAATAGTAGTCAAGTTTATTGTAGGTGCAGGTCAGCCACACTACTCCTGGCCGTACCTTCACTTGCGTGTGCACACGCACACTTACGTGAGCTATCACGGAGCTAATCTTTAGCTTTCCCATTTGAAACTTGCCGAACCGCACCGACGTTTCGTTACACTTACCCAAATCCTGAAAGTGTTTCCTGAGTCTTCACAGATTCTTCTAACGATACGGAATTAAAAGTAATCCGGCCTAGTCCAAGAAAAATGTTTTAATCCGTTTCTTTGTCCCTGTGACTAAGATGTACCCTCACTAGTCCTACTTCTTCTTCGGCCGTTTTTTAATGGCGGTTGACAACCAGCTTTAGGTGCATTACCGCCACCTTCTAGACTGGAGTGTGGATCAGAACAACCCCTACCTACCACCACACCAAACTAACCCCACTCAGTTCACTTTATATTATCTTGTGTAACCCTAAAAACCTAATATGTGCTCTGTATCCTATATCCCCTGACCTTTATCCCAACACCTCTGGTAAACTAAAGTTTAAAATAGTATGTTTTGTTAGGTATTTTTAGTCAGATAGAAATTGGATAAATACTTTATGTATTAGAAATGTTTAGTGGGGATAGGATGTCTAGTTAGACTGTTAAATGCTTAGGCATGCTTATGAGTTTCTACAGGGTACATCTGGTCAAGGATAACTAGAGAGAAAAGTTTATGATTGTCAGCAGACAGGGTGTTTAATATTATTATTATGACGTGTATAACTGTAGCCTTAGCCATAATATGTTCTTATGTTTAAGTCATGACATGTTCTAGAAGTCTGTGAGAATGTTTTTAGCTACACACCACTTAATCAACAGACACACACACATTGATTTGCTTCATGTTTTGACTACTGCTATGACCAGCTGCAAAGCTGGTAACAGAGACGTCTCGGTTGACGTTTCTGTGTAGTATGGGGCTAGCCCAACCGAGGGGCTATAATGTATAGGCCTGGTGGGTTCAGGGTCTTTCATCTTACATCTGCCTGCGTGCAGTTTGGAGGTGCAAGATACCTGAGCGTGTAATGTTAATTTTACCTGTGATCCTTTGAATAAATCAGCACTGTTTTGAAGTTACTTGGACTGTCTCATCTCTCAGAGTTAGCAATGGTAAGAAGAACCAAAGACCCACAGTTTGAACAATTCCCTCTCCCTCCTGAACCTGGGGAAAATCATTAGAACATGTTCCACAGTTTCTTGTACCCTACACCTCTCACATTCCCCTTTATTATTCTTCTTGATTATCTTCAATGTACTGTACTTTTTTAAACCAGTGTGCCCAAATCTGATACCATATCTTCTTCCTTCCTATTTCTAGTACTTCCTCTCATTTCTCCTACTTTCTGTTGCATACTGTAATAGAACCGACCCTTGCCATCTTTATCCCACAGTTCTTGCCATTTCTCTTTCATTTTTCTTTTTACACTCTTAACCTCAGCCTTACTATAACTTACTTCCACACATACATCTCTTTTTTTAAGTGCAGGTTTTGCAAATTCATCTGCTAGTTCATTTACCTCCACCCAAATATGTGCTGGTATCCAAACTAGCCTAATATCTATTCCAGCCCTCTGACATCTGAATAGTATACAAGCTATTTCAAGTATTATGTCTTGCCTCGAGTCTGAACGGATGTATCGAATACTCAATAAAGAACTGCCAAAATCTGATCCAATTAGGACTTTTAATAGTTTATGTTCTTCTACCCATTCTAATGCTTGTACAATAGCTAGCAATTCTCCTGTGTATATACTGTGTCAGCAAGGCTGTAAATACGATACAGAGAAGGCTGAGGAGAAAGAGGAAGTTTCAAGGGACATTGGAAAACACAAAGGAATTATTATTAAAATGCTGTGGCAGAATGCTTAGAAAAGTTAAGCTTTTAATAAGTAAAGATAATCATAAAATGATTTATGTGTGTGTTTATTGAAATAATCATTAGTACATGTGTAAGAATAAAATGTGAAATAAATGTATTAAAAGAATGGGGAGAAGTGATTTTACATCTAAAAGAGTGAAAAATGCAGTCACAGGAAAGAGGAAGTACAGTAGACACACATCCCTGCTGAAAAGGAGGAACTGCAAAAGCTCATGTGTGCACGCCACACAGAGAAGAGACACACAGCATACTGAGGAAGCAACAAAAAATGATAGTTTCAAGCACAAAAGTAAAGATTTGACTGATAATTGTTTGATCAATGTCTAACCAATGATAATCCATGTTTAGTCAAAGTAAGGTATTCAAAATATAAAGATGTTGTCAGAAACTGCGCGCGTAATGCGGCCGAAAAGTGTTGTGAACTCAATTAAATGGCCAGACGAGGAAGTGTAAAACAAAAACCGTCTCTTTATTAAGAGAACTAAAACTAAACAAAAAAAAAAACATAGAAGACACGGTGGAAACAAAAACTCAAGGTCAGTATCGGTCCCAGGTCAGAACCAGCAAACACGTACATCCAGGGGAATCCAAAGTGCGTAGTCCGTAGGGAGTGTCCGATACGCCGATACACATAAGCAGTCCGAGATAAGAGGGCAAGGCAGAACAGAGTAATCCAACCAAAAAAAAAAAAAAAAAAACAGTCCGAGTCAGAAACACAAATACCAAAAACCGAATATAGTGCTGGAAAGTCAGAGCTAGGGTCTAGAACAATCTAAATATAGGTGAACACAGGTGTAGGATAATAAGGAGCAGGTGAAACTAATCTGAGTAAGGAAGAACGTAAAAAGACCGAAACTAAAGGTGAAACAAAAACAGGAAGTAATGTCAAAATAAAAGCCGGACAGGAAGCAACGGAACCGAATCGTGACAGATGTATGTTTTGATTTTAAGGCATTGATAGTTTTGTGTGAAATCAGTGTGTAATTCTGATTGTTCTGCTAAAAAGGCAATGATAGAATTTTGATATTTCAGTCAGATGTGTTTCTTGCATTTTTGTTATGTATTCAGATGGTTTAGTTTTCTAGAAAAGAGAAAGTAGAATCCAAGGCTGGATCACAGTGGGGCGGAGGCCAGTTACGGGCAGTGGGCTTGGACTGACAGTAAAAAATATGCAATACTTCAGAACAAAAAGATTTTGCACGCCAAATAAGGTATTAACTGCAAACTGCGGCATCTGGTTGGATGAAGGGTCTGAGGCTACTGACCAGAATCCTATAAAAACCGAGGCAAAGAGAGGAACAGAGAGTCTTCTCATGGCTGCGGCCGGAGGCTCTGTCTGGTTGACCATCTGACTTCCAGGAGACCGAGGACTGCCGGAGGTAGTCCGTGAAGAGGAGCCCCTCTGGGGGTGCTCCCCCACAGACTCGGCCTGTGAGAAGGGATGGATGTCGTCGTGGGAGAGAGAGCACCTTTTTCTGGGTGCTTGGACACAGATGTTCGGCTTGTCAGAAGAGGAGGGATTATCATTGATCCATTTATTTGATTTCACATTTAGTTCTGGTATAATGAATGCTGAATCTATTTTACCATCCTCTGTCTTAGATGCATCTGTATATTTTTTAAAGAAATCCTGCATAAGTTCTGTCTATATATCCAGTTACCTCATGTTGTCTCACACTTTCCTTCTTCTCTTTTTCTAAAAAGCTCATATCTACCTTTCCAGTAGTCTTTGAGTGGGGTGACCCCCTTTATGCCCTTTTAAGTTTGCCCAATACATTAGTGCCAATTGCGTTCTTCATAAGGCCAAAGGTAATTCACCCATTTCCACCTGTAGGGCCGAAACTGGCGTTGTCTTCATGGCTCCACAGCACAGTCTTAAAACTTGATACTGTATGGTCTTACACACTGATTCATAAACTATACTACCATAATCTAAAACTGGTCTTATTAAGCCAATATAAATCAGTTTTAAAGCAGATCTACTGGCTCCCCACTCTCTACCTCTCAAACACCTAATAATGTTTATGACTTTCTTGCATCTTTCAACCATTTTCCCTATGTGTATTGCCCAAGTAAGTTTCTTGTCAAACCACATCCCCAAATATATAAAACAATTTACTCTGTCCAGTTTCTCTCCATACAATTTAAGATTGACTGGAACAAATTCCTTTTCGTAGAACAAATTACTTTCACTTTGGACACAGAAAGACTAAAGCCCCAATCTAATGCTCATTCTTCTACCTGCTTTATCGCTTCTTGTACTTTCTAAGTAATAAATTCCAACTTTCTAGCTCTTTTCCACATGGCCCCATCATCTGCAAATAAAGATACTATAATAGATCTATCAACTCTACTAAATATATCATTTATCATAAGAGAAAACAATACTGGACTTATTATACTACTCTTGAGGTATTCCATTTTCTACTAAATGACCATCACTAAACATCTGTCCTGCTCTCGCTGAAATTACCCTTCCATTTAGAAAATGTTTAATCCATCTATACAGTCTTCCCCTAATTTCTATTTGATGTAGTTGAATAATCAGTCCCTCCTTCCAAAGCATATCATAAGCCTTCTCGATATCGAAAAACACAGCCACTACACTTTCTTTATTAACTTGAGCCTTCCTAATCTCATGTTCTAAACACAGAGCAGTCTACAGTTTGATTCTTTGATTTTTATTCAGTGATTGAGAGCTCAACTATAATAACTGTAATTAGAGCAATAGCTTGATGCAATAGATTGATGATTAAAATAGTTGTTGGTGATTTATATGATTTAAAGCCCTTAATGACAAGGCTCCATCATATCTCAAAGACCTCATAGAGCCTTATCATCCCAACAGAGCACTTGGCTCTCAGAGTGCAGGTTTACTTGTGGTTCCTAGAGTTCACAGAAGTAGAATGGGAGGCAGAGCCTTTAGCTATCAAGCTCCTCTCCTATGGAACCAGCTCACAGTCTCAGTTTGGGAGGCAGACACCCTCTCTACCTTTAAGATTAGACTTAAGACTTTCCTTTTTGATAAAGCTTATAGTTAGGGCTGGATCAGGGGACCCTGAGCCTTCCCTTAGTTAGTGCTGCTATAGGCCTAGGCTGCTGGGGGGCCCCATGATGCTCTGCTCTGCTCTGCTCTCCTCTCCTCTCCTCTCTTTCCATCCATCCATATGCCACCATTACACGTCACTAACATCTGCTCTCTCTCTCTCTCCCTGTACCTTTTTGCTCTGGAGCTCTATGTCTCTGATGAGCAGTCACCAGCCACATCAACCTGACCGATGTTCAATTGTTTGTTGTGTCCTGTTGCTTTTCTTCTTTTCTCTCTCCTCTATCCACTCACCCCAACCTGACCGATGTTCGATTGTTTGTTGTGTCCTGTTGCTTTTCTTCTTTTCTCTCTCCTTTATCCACTCACCCCAACTGGTCGAGGCAGAAGGCCGCCCAC